AAATCCGACTAAACTTGGGGCCTTTTGGGGGTCGGCGGGGATACTCAGCGCTGGGATTTGAGAGAGAGGATGGAGAATCAGTGGAGGCCGCCCAAGAATGTCCTGGGCCGTGGCCCTTCCTGCGTCGGGAGAGCCCGGCTCCCACCACCTGTCCCCAGGGACTGGCCAGGAGTCCGCGGGTAACGGCTCAGCCGGACTCAGGGCCCGGGGCTGGGCGAGGAGGGAGGGAGGGGGTGTGGAGGCTCTTCTCGCCATCGGTCCCCTCCCCAGTGCCAGGGCAGACACCACCGAGCTGTGGGCGCCGGAGCGCACATCCAGGGTGAGGCGGGGGCGACCTCCAGTCTCCGGTGATGTCGACACCCTAGGATTTCTAGTAACCCCCACTTCGCCCCCATTTGCATTACTTTCTTAATTATTCTGCAGCGGCTCAGTGCCAACGGGTCGGGTCCCAGGACAAGGCTCATTCCCACAGCACCAGGAAAGCCAGCCCGAGTAGCGCTCCCAAAACTGGGTCTGGGCGGGTCTCCGAGGCCAAAGCCAGACCAGAGGCTAGGAGGGCGCGCCCCGCGGGGAGGCGGGAAGCACGGCCCGTGGCATCTCCTGCACCCACATCTCACGGGCCCCTTCTGCCTCTGCCTTTCTCCCTCTCTCAGACTCATACACACGCACGGGCCACTCAGCAAATAAAGAGATGAGCGTACTTAACAGGAATCTTGTGAATTACGTGATATTCAAATTCAAATGATTTGAAATTCATTGTCCGCTTGAACAATGGTAACAAGGCCTGAGCTGGGAAGGAGCCGAAGGAAAGGCGAGTCCTCCCGGGCAGTGCTGGCACCGCAGCTTGCCAAGTTTCTCAGGCCCTGGCAGTCTCAGATCTCCAGAGAAGCTGCCGGAGAAGGAGCCGCTTCCCGAGATAGAGCGATGCAATGCAAGTCCCTACGGGTCTGCCCTGACCGAGATGCCACCCTGCTGCAGGGGACTGGAGGCTTCAGGAGGTTGTCCAGATCCTGGTTTAAAACACAAATGTTAAGGGTCTCAGATGTCAGTCACTCACACCTCAGTAAGATTTAGTTTACGTTGCTGGTCTCCCCTCTATCCAGTTAGCAGTTCTAAGGACATTGACATTTACATGGAAAAACCAGGAAAATGGAAGACAATCAAAGGTTTCTGGAGTCGGATCCAAAGCCTGGGAAGGGCATGAAAGGCTGCAGAGGCTCTGCACGAAAGGCCAGGAGCGGAAGGGGGCCCAAGACACCGCATCTCCCAGAAGATGTGGCCAGAGTGCCCCTGAGCCAACGGTTGCCAAGGTTGAAGAAAGAAAACCTTTAACTAAAACCCAAACAACTCTGCCCCTGCCGCGCCAGCGCTGCCCGCTGCCACCCTGAGCAACGTGTTGGTTAGGTCTCCTGGTCCTAGGACGTATCCAGGAAAGGAGAGCGGGGCAAGCGTGGCGCGTATTTAGGCAAAAAATCTTGTACGCTTGAAGCAACCGCACCCGCAAGCGAGAGGTCCGGGCCCTCCAAGCCGCCCCTGCTCCAGGGAGACGCAGGCTGCAGGCAGAAGTCTGGAACCTCTGGCTGCGGGACGCGCGAAAGGGCGGAGGGTTGGACGGAGTCGCCTCCTGCAGGGTCTCCGGCGCCCGCGAGTTCGCGGACTCCCGACCGCGCCACGCCCGTCGAAGGGGGCTCTCGGTTGCTCTGGGCTGCGCGTCGCGCGCTGGGGAGAAGCGGCTCTCCTCCACTCCGGGCGGGCGGGGCGCTCGTCTCCCTATAGGTTTGCTTTAATGATTTTCTTGAAAGAAAGAGACAGTTGTGAGCAAACAGGTTTGACAGGGACTGCTCCCCCCACTCCCCACCCCCCTGCACACACACCCCGGGGGATTCCTTTTTGTCTGCGCCTGACTTCAAAGTCAGTAATAGGCCCCTGTCATTGGCTTGACGAGCAGGATTTGGGCTGTTTGTTAGGGCGAGTCTCGGCCGAGCACCTCGGCAGAGGCTCTGCGGCCCCCCGGTCCCCGGGGCCCGGGAGGCTGGGCTGAGATCTGCCCTTTGGGGCGGAGGCGGGGGCCAGGCCTAAGGAAGACAGACAGCCGGACAAAGCCCGCCTGGGAAGGAAGGGGACGAGGTGTGCTAGACAGAAACGGCCCAAGCCAGGCCCCCGCTGGGTCCCCTGCTCTCAGCTGGCTGTAAAGAACTCTCAGTTGCCCATTCGCGGGCACACACACGTCTCTCCGACTGGGCCGGGCACGAGCTAGATAGAACCTGGTTTCAGTTTTCCAGCTCCCACCGCTGCCCAAAGCCTTTTCCATTAGGACCCACCTGGTGCCCTTCCCAGCCTAAGCCTGCCTCCTCGGAGTTGGTGGGGTGCCCCGTGGGCCCGAGCGCTCGGGGTTCCTCCCGGGCTGGGGCACTGTGCACCCGGGGCGCTGGAGCTCCGGGCTCTGCGGGAGACACCCAGACCCCGGCACGCTTCATCTAAGGAGATGTTAAGGGACACTGAGCTATGAGGGAGTTCAGAGTGGCTGACAGCACTGTCAGTTGGGGTTACATCAGACAGTAAAACCGCGGCGCCTCCGCCCGGGGCCTCCTGGGCTTCCTGGGGGGCGGGAGGAGGGGCCTTCCCTCCGCTCCGGGAGCCCCCAGACCGGACGGCCACCAGAGGCAAGTCACTTCCTAATTGTCTCGATTTGTAAGAGGGTTTTGTGATGCTAAGTAAGCGTGGCGCAGCCCGCCCGGCCGCCCCCCGCCCCCACAGGTCCCCCAGCCCGCCTTTGTTTACCTTCGCCTGATCGCTCATTTATTTATCTATCTATTATTTATAGGCGTCCCCTCCTATTCAGCGCCCGTGTATGTTAATTGTGTTATACCATTTAATTCTAACATCGGTCTCAAAAGAGCGCTTAATGAGAAAAGCATATACAACACGGATCACTTTACTATTCAGCTCAGCCAGATGGACAACCGCTAACTTTTTTTTTTTTTTTTTAATAATGAAATCCCCTTTTGACAAAGGGGCTCGGATGAATAGGCTCCAAATAACACCTCAAACACTTCTAATTGTTTTGCGGACAATATGCTAATCCGTGGGTTTGGCTTTGGTGTCTGTTGACATCGTTTCTCGTGCACTTCTAGCCCTTTGGCTCCTTTGGAAAAGGCAGAGCCAAGCGCACAAATCCCTCAGCCGCAGCAGAAAGCAGACAGGCACTAGGATGCCCCCTACCCCCATCCGCACCATATCAAAGCCAGTGGGTAAAGCACCCGACCTACGGAAAACCCGTGAGCAGGGCTTTGGGGATGAGAGCAGCAGAAGATGGGTGCTTGGGGGTGGGGGTGGGGGGCTGGAGAGGGGCAGGAGAACCCTTTGGTTTGGAGAATAAGTTCCAAAGAGTTGTGCTGGAAGGCATCCGAAGGTCCTTTCTCCCACAAAAAACAGCAATGTTCAAGCTAACATTCACCCAGTGGGGAAAGAAAGAGTTCTTTTCCTTGTTTGTTAAACACAGAAGCTATGAGTTATGATTTTTATGATTTTAAGCATGTCACTATCGCCTCCCTTTTTCCTTTGCTCCCATGGGGTCTTAGTAAAAAGTCTCCTGTGGCATTTCTTAGACTTTTATTTTTTAACTTAGGAACCAGTACAGAGTCCCAAATCCCCAGAAGAGCCAGCAGCATGATTTTCAAACACCTTTAAATATATATTTCCCACCAGTCTTCCCCTGATCAGTTAACTTAAACACCTACTGCAGGACGCAGGTGCTCCATGCGCAACTGGTTCCCAGTAGATTCGAATTTCTCTCCATTCCTTTGGAGTTTGGTTTAAAAAAGGAAAATGCACCCAGATATCAGAGGTCTGGATCCGTCTTTGTCTTAGCTCATTTGCTCCTTGAGTGGTCTGACCACTTTGTGAAGGATGCAGGGAAGGAGTGATGTCCTAGGGAGCTATACCTTTGTCCAGTCTCTAAAGGCAAAAAGTGGATACGATCCGGACAAATCATAGACTTTAGTCCCCTTTGCACCTGGCCTGAAGGCCACCACACTGGGCCAACGCAGGCCAGCCACCAGCTGCCACTGCTAGAGTTGCTCTATGCCCTCTCCGCCTCCCAGTGACCAGCTCCCAGCCCGGACCTGGCCTCCTGACTTCAGATTTTACTAGTATGCACATCAAAGGTTATTATTTTTTTTTTTTGCAATGACAGATTGTCTTTATTCAAAACACCTTTGTTCAACAAATGAACAGAATAAGGAGATGAAATCCTTCTAGGTACATTTCCAAGACATCGTCAAAACATTTACGACCATTTAGGATGTTTTTATTCTTTCAATTTTTGTTCACTTTCTACTTCCTGACTTCATAACCTGACATTCTGTCTAAAAGTAAACTTAGGTCTCTAGGAGCACTGCTTTATACAAAGTAAATAATCATGTGGGTCCTTTTGTATTACCTTTAAAGAAGCAAACACTATCATAGCATGAGTTTTAAATAGAAATGTTTCCCTTCTGTAGTTGAAAACTTTGAAGCCTTTTCCCCCACACATGAAGAGCCAATGGCACCTACTTGTGTCTGATGACAAAACACAGAGCTAACTCTTTTCTTCGGGGTGCAAAAGAAAAAAAAAATGCGTATTCTAGATATAATACCAGGATCAGAGAGTTCTGGAGTCCAACGCCCATCAGAGGAGAGAGAAGGGGACATAAATAAAACAAACTGCCTACTTTTTTTGTCCAAAGGGGGTACATTTGGAGATTTGATTTGGGACAGTTGGAGTAGGGACAACTGTATGGTGGTCATACTGTTCACAAGTTTCTGGCACCTGTCTGCGTCTTGGGTCCGGTAGGACGCCCCTACCATCCCCCTGAAGAGAGAGGCAGAGTCTGGGGTAGGGTAGGGGGCTGCCGGCAGGGCTGGCCCCAAGGCTTTTGCAGGCCCGGGCTAGGCGCAGATGACAGGGTGCAAACCCCAATTCCAGGCCACCCTCCAGGTCTGGTGGGCCGGGCTGGGGGTTACATGGCTGTGGCGTGGGCTGACGAATAAGGGTCTATGCCAGTCTTGGTCATGCCGGGGAAGAGGATGTAGGCGACAGGGGGCTGCAGGGTGGAGGCAGACCAGGCGGTACAGTTACAGGGCACCACGTAGCCCGGGTTGGTGGGGGACGGGTGCGTGTGCGTGTGCTGGCTGGGGCAGCTGAGGCTGCCGAAGGCGCCGTTCTGGTAGCCCAGGGTGGACGCGTAGGGCAGCGCGCCGGTGGCCAAGGTGTGGGGCACTTCGCCCATCTTCTGGATGGCGCTCGAGCTAAACTGCGCAGGGTCCAGCAGGGAGTAGGGCGCCGAGGCGGGCGGCAAGAAGGCCCGGGCTTTCTCGGGCGCGCTCAGGAGGCCGTCGGAGGCCCCCACGGGCAGGCCGGCCGCCTTGAGCGGGTCCGTGTCGCCCAGGTAGGGCAGGGGGAAGACATACCTGTCCTTCTTGAGCAGGTTCTTGGGCTTGCGCCGCGGCCGGTACTTGTAGTCGGGGTGCTCCTTCATGTGCTGGGCGCGTAGCCTCTTGGCCTCGTCGATGTACGGCCGCTTCTCTGCCTCGGACAGAAGCTTCCATTCGGCGCCGAGGCGTTTGCTGATCTCTGAGTTGTGCATCTTGGGGTTTTCCTGGGCCATTTTGCGCCGCTGGCCTCGGGACCATACCATGAAGGCGTTCATGGGTCGCTTGATATGGTCTGAAGGTTTAGACATGGTCCCGGAGGCTAGGCGGGTGGGGGCGGGGAGTGCAGGGGCTCTGCAGGCGAACTGGGCGCGGTTGCCTGTCTGCCTGTCTGTCCGTCCTGAGCCGGGACTCTGCGCTCCCCTCGCCTCCGCACCGCCGAGGGGAAGCCAGAAAGAAGCGGTAACCCCGCAAAGTTCAGCTGATCATGCCAGTCTCGCACCCAGGCAGGCCCCGGGGGGGCGAGTGGGGACAGGAAGGGCGGGGGAGGAGAGGGTGGCGGGCCAGGATGCCCCCGACACTCGCCGGGGTCCAAGTACCGTAGTCTCTGCGATTTAGGGGCCAGGTAATTTGTTGGCGAGGGCAGGAAGCTCCTCCTTCTCCCCCTCTCCACCTTCGCCTTCTCTGGCTCTCTTCTCTCCTGGGTCTACGGCCGAGGCGCCCTCCTCCCTCCCGTGGCTTTCCCGGAGCTGCTTCGCCTAGCGCAGCACCTGGCTGAGACTGCGGGGAGGCTGGTGAACGCCAGCCAAAAGCGGCGAAGTTCAAAGGCGAGGTGGGCCGGGACAGCGCGCACTCTGACATAAGCGCGGGGCGGCGACTCCCCAACCTGGGCGCCAATCAGCGGCAGAGAAGGCGAGGGGCGCACCTGCCACCGCGCCAGCCGAGGCTCGAGGGGGCGCGACTGGAGGGGGCGGGGAGAGGTGCGAGGGAGAGACCGAGATGGGGAGGAGCAGACAGCGGCCAGCTCGCGACTTGGATTCCGCATTGTTTCTGGCGCTTTCGACAAATTAAACTCTTTATATCTGTTTTCTTTCCCGGTTTGCAAAGGAGAATTAAGGCTTCGAATACAAAGACCCTGGGAAGGGGCAGCAAAGGGAACGAGCCGAGAGCGCAGGTTGATAAATAGGACAGCCTTGTCACGAAATGCAAGGACAGCACTCTACCCCCCCCTCCCCCTTGTCAAAGATCCTTGGAAGAGAAAAAGAATCTATCAAACTCAGGTTTCAAAGCGAAATAAACTTTTCGCGCCATATCCTCGGCCGTCCTTGGGCTGCGTTCTCACGGGGTGCCCCCGAGGCGCCGCCTCCACCCCTGCCCCCGCCGGAGGCGCCCGGCGAAGCCCCGGGCCCCGGGTGAGCTGGGCGGTGCGCTCCCCGATGATGCCGGAAGGCCTCGAGTCCCGCAGTGCAGAGGTTTCAGAGCCTGGTTGGTGAGCCCCGAAGAGCCGCGATCTGCTCTTCACTTTCTTGGAGGGGGCGGGAATGGGATTTCCATCACGATTCCTGCTTACCTTATTATTATTGAGTGTTTTTTAATCCTCCAACTTTCCCTCCACATCTGCCCACCCCGAAAGGCAGCCTGAAGGCCAGCAGGCGCCCAGCCGGGGGTGGGGCTTGCCCGTTGCCCCTTCTGCAGCGGCGCTAGCGCCGAGTCCCAGGCGGCATCCGCACTCAGGGTCGGTTTGTCCCTGGGCGCCTCTGCCCACCCAGCGAGCACGCGAAACTCGTTTCTGGCAGTCAGATGAGCATTTTCGGGTAAAGAGGACGAAATAACCTGCAGAGCAGACCTGCGCGCCTGTTTCCTTTGAATAATTGCCTGCCCGATGTGAAATGCCCTTGGGGGAAATATTTATTAAATGGAAACCATTGTCCCAGGCCCAGCAGGACCTGCGCGTGTTCCAGGCTTATTGGCTTTTGCATCGGCCTCTCTCGGGAGGACCGACCAGAAATGTGCACAGCTCCGCGGGCTTGGAGGGGTAGGAGGTGGGGGAGAACCAGGCAGAGAACTAGGAGGAGGGGAGAGAGGGTCTTTCTTTAGTATATAGCTGTCAAGTTTGAAGAAGACTTTGCTTCTTCTTCCTACAGTTACACAGACGGGTGGCATTTCTTATCCTTAGCTTGCTCTTCAGATTATGCCCATTTTACAGATTAGGAAACAGGTTGAGAAAGGCCAAGTGATTTACAAAATGTGACTCCAGTGGGACGTGGTGATGACGGGTGTACAGGATTTGAAAATCCTGATTTTGTTCTACCCCACACTGCACCACTTCGGATTTGCTGGTGCTGCAGTAAAACGCAGAACTCTCAAGGAGAACTCTGGAGCCATCGAAATCAGCCACGCGATAAACTGCACAGAAAGGCTAATTGCCATGACTGGTTTGACTCACGAGGGCTCTGATGGAACCCTGATCTCCTTGACCATACACCTCTGCGTGGACTGGCCAGCAGGCACAGGGTCTTTACATTGCACTCAGTTCCAGCCCTGGCCTCCACCCCTGTTTCCTCTGCAAATTTGATCTAGCGTGGGGTATCAGGGAGTAGAAGCACTTTTCAGCCCAGTTCCAGGAGGGTTTCCAAGAGGCTAAGGCAACCCTTACTCAGGTGGGACTAATCTGCAGACCAAGCCCTGCTTTCAGAGCCTGCAGGTCTAGAGGATTTTGGAAAGGAATGACAGAAATACTCCTATCTGTGGAGGTCCAGCATCCGGCGGGGATCCACCAAACTGTCGCATCAGAACACTCAGGGAACACTAAACCCACACACAGAGATTTGGGTTCATGCAAACCAACCTCTTGGAAACTGCTCAAGGAGGGGATCTGGCACAGGGTCTTAGCCAGTGGTTCTCAACCTTCTGGCCCTTTAAATACAGTTCCTCATGTTGTGACTCAACCATAAAATTATTTTCGTTGCTACTTCATAACTGTAATTTTGCTACTGTTATGAATCATAATGTAAATATCTGATATGCAGGATGGTCTTAGGCGACCCCTGTGAAAGGGTCGTTCGACCGCCAAAGGGGTCGCGACCCACAGGTTGAGAACCGCTGTGACCTTTTCTCTCTTCTCAGCTTCCAGGCCAACTCTGCGATTGCCCCGAGGCTGCTCTCTTTCAGTCCCTCAATTCTGCCCCTCCTACTGCCTGGGCGGGTTCTCGCTCGCTCAGCCCTAGTTCTCAATCCAAAAGTCTGGAGTAGATTGGTACCAAGGGCTTGAAATGGTGGGGTGGCAGTTTTTGAGCCTGGCATTGCCTGACTTCCCAGGGTTCGGAGCCCCAGGGTGCCTGGGTCAGGCTGCACCGACCCTGACCGGCGCCACCATCCCCCTGCACTTCTTGACCTTGAGACTTGAACTCAGCTCTGGGAGACGTCTCCTAGGTGAACAGCGCAGCCGCACACACCCCTTACACAGTGCTGTTTGAGGTTTATTCAGGACTCCGTAGAGCTGGGCCCCACACAGGTGTTGCCATGATCCCGGGGCCTGACCTGGTGCTGTTTGCAGCCCAGACCTCTATCGTCTTTGCCGCTGCGCATCCCTCTGAGCTCTGCCTCCCAGACAGGCCTTAGGCAGCGAGGTGGATGTCCTAAAGAGGAGACCCCTGGTGGGAAGCAACAGCTTTGGTCACCGCTGGAACAAGCCTTAGGACAGAGGTCGCCTACGCGCGCTTCTTACTTCATCAACAGTAGGAAGCTAGGGCCTTTGGCCAGTAGGCTACCCTGCAGGGCTGGGTGGCCCTGGGATAAGGCCTTTCCGCTTCCGAGTTCGCCTGCAGAATTCGCGCACAGCCCCAGTGCGCGCGCCTTTACGCAAGGCTGGTCGGGGAACCCACGTGTTTCCAATAGAAGTTGAGCGGTCACGACCTCGAAGGTCACCACCCCACGGACTTCTCGCCCCGCCCACTCTCTCCAGCGCCCCTCTAGGTGCGCGCACCTGGCTTTCGCTTCTGGGCCTTGGCAGCGCGCTCCCGCCCAACACCTGTGCGTGCCTCAGGTCTCCTAAAGGCTTCACCTGCGCTGGGTGAGACCACTTTTAGGTTCTCACTCGCACAACTTCTGCTTGCATGTCCTCTTCCCAGCCTCTCGTGGAGCCGCGTCGCAGCCCGTGCAGGCCACCAGACTGCGAGCTCCTCTAAGGTGGTCGCTGCGCGCTATTCGTCGTCCAGTGCCCAGTGGCAGCACCACTCTGAGCGCAGAGAAGACGCTGGGTAGTTTCCTTCTGCTCAGGCTTAAACTTTTCCAACAGGCCTTTCCCGACCTCGTAGCTTCGGAGACAGACCCCCAGATGCAGCCTGGTAGCGCCAAGTGCGCCAATCCCGGCTACCAGGCCCGCAGCCACCTGCCTGGCATCAACGCTCCGCCGCCCTCAGCCACCACCCGCTCCTCTCTAGTGGACAGGTCTCTGCTCCGAGGCCTTCGGGACTGAACGACAGCCCGACAGCCCGGCGAGTAGAGGAAGGTGTGCAGACCTTGGCTTTCAGAACGTGGCTGGGCGGTGGAGTGGAACAGGGGACCTTGCCACGTGGGTCGCACCCTGTGGGTTTTCGGAAGAGACCCAGAAAGTGGCCTGCGTCGTGGCGGGCGGAGGAGCTGGGCGCCCGCTGGACGCCCCTCCGGGATTCGGGGAGGATCCGAGCCAAGTTCCCAGTGCGGGTTTCCAAGAGCTTCTGCGCGCAGCCGGCTGCAGCTCTGCGGTGAGTGTGAGCGCCAGGCACACCTGAGCGTCAATCCGGCCCGTCTCTGAGCGTTTCCAACCCAGAAGCCAACTTGAGAGTGATAGAATGATCTCGGGAAATAACGCACTTCGGTTAAATCATAAACTTTTAATTTTCTTATGAACGAAAATATTTTAAAACAGGACAACCTTGCCCCCCCCCCCATACCCCCTTTTCTGTCTGTTTTCAAATTCAGAGACTTCATATATCTCATCTCTCGAGAGTGCTGGAAGGGACCCAGGACTCTGGTCTTATTAAGACAGTTCCTGGTAATTGCTCTAGTTCTTCCCTCCAGAGCCCCAGCCCGCCTGCTAGGGGAGTTTTAAAATTTTGTAACACTCCACGGGACCCTCACACAGTTCGCCCAGGAGGGCGCGGCTTCCAACAAGAAACGATTTGAAACAGAACAAACTCTGGTCCCAGAACAAATGCCTGGAAAGCCTGAATAGAGCGCCTTTGCCTAGGAGGAGCTGGCAGAGCTCTCCGCTGGGCTGAAGGACACTTCTGTCTCAACGCGGGGAGCGCGCCCAGGTAAGGAGACTTTT